ACGGTAGCCATTAACCATATGTGGCTGCAATGGTCCCCCTTTATCCTTGGGGGATATGCTCTAAGACCCCCAATGGATGCCTGAAACTGCAGATAGTACCAAACCCAATTGCCATCAATCAGAACACGTTTCCATTCATGTCTTCCCCCCACAAATTAATGTCTTTTCCATCTCAACTAAACATTTATGACACTCTGTGGCTGTGACTTGCACTTTGTGGTATGACAGCAAAATTAGCATGAATTTCTTTTCTTTCTTTTCAATTTCACTGATAGAAGATTTGTTCTTAATTTAGATCCTAGAAACTTCAGGATATAAGTCATCATGTACTGCCTGGTCTTATTTTGTTTTTTCATAGCACTTATTATCTTAAATGACCTTATACGCTTGCATGTTTATTGTCTGTCCCCCACCATTAGAGTGTAAGCTTCTTGAGGAGAAGGACTCTATTTATCTTGTTTAAAGCAATATTTCTGGAACTTTGAACAGCATCCTGTATATATTTGGTGCTCAAGAAATATCTGTTGACCAACTGAATGCCTGACTCAATTAATCCTGCAGGCCTCCGTCAGATGTTGCAGTTGTGAGGTATGTTTTGCCTAGTCCCACTGCCTGGATTTATTATTGTTGTTTCCCTTATAGAGAAATTCAAATACCTCCTTGACTGAGCTGTCCACTTCTCCATTTCTGGAAACTGAAAATTTCCTGGGAAGGGTGTTGATGGTCTCAGTGTCCTCCTTGGTCTTGTCCTCTCAGTGCATGGTCTGCTCACTTTCTCCTCCCTCAATTTAACAGCTCAAGTCATCTGCAAGGTGACTGCTTGGGCTTCCAGCATTCATGTTGGCCCTCTCTGTCACTCCTATCCTCTGTATCTCTCTCTGATTTGAGCTTTCAGCTTCTTTATCTTTGCCCACCTCAGTCCACTCCACCCCATCCCATTTTCTCTCATCCAGGGTTTCAGAGTATGAACTTCTTAGTCGGCTATCCAGGTTCAACTTATGGAACATGTGTAGCCTTGTTGTTGGGAAGTTACTCTCCCTGAGCTTCCATTTGGGATCTGAAAACAGAGATAGTATTACTTCCCCTCATGGTGTTACTGTGAATATTAAACAAGATAATGCTTGAGAATTTCTTTGAAATGTGCTGGCCCATAATAAGTACATGAGACATGTCAGCTATCATTGCTCACACTTTTAATCTTTCTGTCTCTGTTTCCACCACTCACTTTTTACTGCACTTTCCCATCACCCATTCTCTTGATGATGTTGATATAGGATAGAGGTGTCAAAATTATAGCTGTAGGCATGAGGAAAAAGCCTAATTTGTCCCAGAGGGATGTGCAAATTTTGGAGGTAAAAAACCATTGTTTTGAATTCCAACTCTTTTATTTACTTGCTGTTTGACCTTGGGCAAATTATTTTGCCTGTCTGAGCCTTGGCTGTTTTGTTCTCTGTAAATGAAATAATAATATATACCTTCCCCCCAAAGGCCACTGCGTGATATAACATACACACCCACATAGACAACCCTACATATACATATGCATAATGACTGATGACAGTCAAGACCCACTCCTGTCTCCTTTTCAAAATAATCTAACAAAAAGGAAACAATATTTTTGAGATTTAGTGTGATTTAATCTACAGAGAAAGGCACTTGTCCTTTCTTGTAAGAAGTTTGAGAGAACTTATAAAAGCATGAGAATTAATCGAGACCCTTGTGTCCATGAGGTGCAAAAGCAATGGTTAGGGAAATTACCAGGGAAGACAGTAAACCCTGGCGGCTCATCAGAAGTTGCAAGTCTCTGCAGCCCCCTAGTGGCCATTTATTGCAGCAGAAAATTCATAGTTAACTGACAAATCACTAGAGTTAATTTGCTTTTGGACAAGATTTATAGAGACAAATAAGGGATGAAGTGGGGAGTAAAAGGGCTGGCATTTTAGTCTTTTCATATTTCAAACAGAAAAAGTATTTTACCAGTGTGAATGTCAACAAAATCTGATGAAAATCCAAACATATATGTGCACATATTAGGAAAATTTTAACTTCATTCCCTTTCCTTACTCTTTTCTTCTGTTTTCTCCCTCCCTCTCTTCCTCCCCAAGGTAGGAACATCTTTCCTTTTCTTTCTGTCAGATCATTCTTTGCCCTTAAACTTGTAAAGTCAATGTATCCAGTCTGAGTTCCAGGGAGAGGCCAGATACCTGTCAAATTAAATGAGTTACTAAACATAGAGCTGGGAGCAAGTCATTCTGAGAATCAATATTCCTTTGTGATTAGGTCTCCCACTTGCCAAAGGTGATGCCACTGTGCTGGAAAGAGCCCAGCCCAGTCCCTGGGAGAGCAGAGGCTCCACTTGGCTACCATCTCCTGTGGGGTGATAGGCAAGCTACTGCAGCCTTCAGGAGCTCAGTGAGGGAGGTTCAATCAACACTGTACTCTGATTCTATTACGAAGCTCCTCTGCAACCTGCCAGGCTGTGAGCTCCTCAAGGGAGAGTCTTGCCTTTTTAGCACTGACAGCACAAGGCCTTGCAATCAACTTTTGAGAAGAAGGAACTGAGGGATTTGTGTGAACCAAAGACTGTAGTTTTTTCTGTGGTCCTAGTGGGCCACTTGTTATAAACGCAGCCATTAATTAGGTTCTGTGTTGGCAGCTCCAGAGAGACAAAAGGAAAGGGAGACCCAAGGTACAGCCCTTACTTTACAAGTGGTGTGTGTGGGGGGAAAGGCCTGGGGTTCTGAATTCTCACTCCCAAGGCTGTAAGCAAGAGCATCCCATCTTTATTCCTTCCAGCTAAGTCATCCCTAGATATTCTTTGCTTGTTATTCATGGAGGAGTATGGTAGAGTCGTGGTTAAGGGGTTGGGGGTCCCATATGGCTGTGCGACCCAGGAAAAATAATTAAATTCTCTATAAGTCAGTTTCTTCATCTGTAAAACTGGCATTAAAAATATTTACCCTTCAGGGAGGTGGCACATGTTCAGACACCGTTCTGAGAAAACGGGGTGACTGGACAGAGGTCTGAAATATACTTGTTGTAGCTGAAGAACAACTCTACGAGACCTCCGCCATCCCCCACCCCCCACTCCGCCCTGCCGACGTTTCCTGTGTAGATGGCGGGATCGCCAGGCTCCCAGGAATGCGTTCAGATAATAGGAGGGTCAGAAAAGATTATGTCTCAGGGACCTCACACAAGCTGTTCTCGGATCCGGCAATGTCGAGATGCGACCCCTCCCCCTCGCCTCCAGTTTTATTCCGGAACCTGCTTTTCCGCCGTCGGACCTGTTTAATGTTTTAAATGCATAATTAGGGATAGTGCTTGATTGCAAGGGGCCGCTTCCAGTTCTCCCATTTGTCCAAAACACGCTCCTGTTCACACAGTAAAGAAATAGGGCAAGGAATCTGGAGGAGGGGAAGGAAGAAGACAGAGAGGCGGGGGAGGGCGGGGTGGGCTCTGAGCTTTTCTCAATGAATGCCGAGGCCTCTGCAGATTTGCATAGAAGCCGACCTCGCCGCGCCATTGGTTGGCGTGCGAGGGGGGCGGGGTGGGCCTGCGAGGGCGGGGCACCTGCGCGGAGTGGGCGCGCGAGCCCCGCCCCCTTGGCGGCCCCGCCCCCTCCCGGCGCCCGCCCGCGGCACCCCCCGCCGGATGAGGGGGGGGGCCCGGGGGGG